ATCTCTTGATAACATGTTAATTTCATTCACCACAGATTTTATTTATAAGATTGAAAACTAAATTAAAAAAAGTCTACACCCTCCACTTATTTCTTTCCTTTTCTGCTGCATTGTTATTAACTGTAGGGCTTAAGCTAATTAGCTCCATGACGTATTAGTGGCTGTCATTATCTCATCTCATAGTAATGGGCACTCGGAAATAAACTTAATTAGCTTATGCTTATGGTGGTAATGACACTAAGCTGATTAATTAATTAGGAGATAATGAAATCTATTAGTTTTGAGGATTAAGAAAGTAGTTGAAGGCATAAAAAAGTCCACTTTCTTATCACTACTTTTTTTCTCCCTATCATGGCCCGTGGTAGTTGGCCACTACCAATCTTCTCATCAAGCCTGATTTGATTAAAAAAGGGAACATACTGTACTCGAATAGATTCTCACTCATTTGGGCCGGCTTTTTTACTGTTTTTTAAAATAATTTTTTAGTATGAATTTTTTAATTTTTTTACTAGAAAATCATTTTAAAGTAGTAAGAAAGCCGTCTTAGGCTTCGTTTGGGACGGCTTTTTTTATTTTTGTACTAGAAAGTTGTTTTAAGAAGAAAAAAGAAAGTCATCTCAAACGAAGCTTGATTCTTATGTTATCAAATTTAAATTTTATAAATAATGTTACTAAACTATGTTAAATTAATGATTTTTATGACTTTTTTTACCATAAGTAAATATTTTAAATGTAAAATTAGTATTATTTGTGTCAGAAAGTCTTATATTTAACCAAATAATATTCTGTTTCCATAAGAAATTATATATATAATATTTGCCATTTATATAAAATGTGATATATTGATAATTTAAGTTTTGTTTAGGACGATTTTTTTACTGCTTTTTAATATAGTTTTTTAGTAAAAAAAAATTGATAATTGAAAAAGTTTTTATTAAAAAGTTGCTTCAGAAAACAATAAGAAAGTTGTTCCAAACGAAACAGATGTTTTGTAGGCGGTGGTAAGCCGATTGAAGGTGAAATGTCATTTAAAAAGACAAGTGGTTGGTTGATTCGGGAAGGGAATGATGTAGAGAGCAGGCTTTTGTAGTGGGAATGTTATGGTGAATAAGAACACCGCCCGTTTTTAAGCCACCAACCAGAGCAAAAGTAGAGAACCTTAGAGCATAATTTTTTTCCAAAAAAAATTAGAATCAAGTTATCTCAAGCTCATCTTTATTATAAGAATTGATAACAATTTTAAATGTGGGGGTTATCAATTCCCTTCTTGGTAACATTCTATTGCTTCAAAAGAGATGGGGATAGAGTAGATTATGTTGTGGGCAATAGGAGATATTGTAGTTGGCAAATATTAGCTAAGAGGTGTATTTGTTGGATATGAAGTTGGAGAATCCTCATTTGCAACTAGGTCGTTGAGAGATTTATCATTACACAGGGGGTTTCAAATCATATATCGTAAAGGTCAAATTAATTTTCATATTAGAAGTCATATGTTTCAATTTTATTTCCAAAAAAGTTTGACGTTTAATGCCTCATTTATCCATAGAGGAATATATATATCTTTCCACTAGCATGCTGGTATTGTAGTAGAGAGCAATTAAAGGCATGAGAGAATTGAAGTAGTAGAGACACCACAAAACCTAATTGTCTAGGCTTACGAGTGTTGTTCCAAGTGATAAGATGTAGTTTTCTAGTGATGATGGAACCCTGATATAGGAATTTAGTACATGCTCAATTGAGAGTTTTGCTATAGTTTTTATGTATAATTGATTCCCTTATCCATAAAAAATGAAATTTTATATATTGAATTTAACAAACTTTAGCCATTCGGCCAAGGAGAGGGTTTTTGCCTTCCAAGAATCATGAAGTTGAACAACCTTATGTAAAGTGCTTTTTGAGTTCTCTTAATATTTCTCTTGCAAGTACAATGTTGTAAGTAGAGACATTATGTTAAAGAAAGACAACTTAATTATGATGTATAATATGAGGTATAATAAGTTTCATCCTGCAAGGAAGAATTTTTATAATAATTTTTTAAAAAGTGTTGCGAATTGATATATGTTTGAAATCAGAGATATGAGTAGTATGTTAGTTTTTAGGAATTAGGACAATCGCAGTTGTTTTAGCAATTCTAGGTAGATTATTGTTAGAGAAAAGTGCTTGTTGGCAAAGCATAGTTGTTCCCTAATATCATCCTAGGTGTAAAAGAAAAATGCAAAGGTAAATCCATTAGGGCATGGAGCAGCAGATTTAGAGGTTGAAAAATCACCCTTTAAATTTCTTCCATAGAGATCTGGGCATTGACGAAAGGTATGAAGTGAGGGTGTATGATGTTACCGAGTGGTATTAGAAGAGCATTTCCTGAGGTGGGGCTTTGGGCATTAAAGATTGTTCTAAAATGGGAGATAGAAACATGGACAATGTCAACAGGCTCGGTGAAGATGCTCGTAGTAGTAGTGATATCTTTTATGTGGTTATGGTTCTTTTTTTTTCTTAATCTTCCGACATTGGAAGTGAATGTCATATTCTTTGTTAAACAACCGCTTATATTTAGATCTATGGAGAATCCACGAGGCCCAAGAGGAATAAGTAAGAGTGAGAGAATTACTCATGTTTTTTGCATTGGCATTGAGTTTCTAGTTTTAGAGATTAGTGTTGAAGAGTATGGATTTGGTGTTTTGTTTGTGCTCCAAGTCTCTAATAGTGGCCACCAAGTGGTTGGAGTTAAGACCTGTCTTTAGCTTTGATGAGAGCTTTAAGCTCATGGAGCTTTTTGTAGATGGAGTAAATAGGGCACTAGTAATTGAGGATGAGAAAGCCATTCAAAATAGGGCATTTTTAACCAATAATTTTTGAAAAGGAATTTGGGCTTGTTTTTGATTGAGGGGCTACTGTGAATGATTAGTGGTGAATGGTTGGAAGGGGCTTTTCATTTTGTAGTATGACTAGGGAAAAAGATCCAATGAATTTTCACTAATGTCCAGCTTGATGTGTGTAGGGTTGTCCAATCTATTATTAAACCAAATAAATGAAAGCCCTACAATGATGAAATCATTTAAGGTAGTCTCAAAGATCATGTTATTGAAATCCTAAAATTGTTAGGTATATGGTTGCCAACATTTTTTTTTCATAATGAAATCTATAGCACTTAAAGTCATCCATGACAACCCATAGTTGAGAGATACTCTTACAAATGTTTTCTCCCAAAGTTGAGATCTCTCAATCTAAGAGTTAGAAGCATAAACCACATATTAGAGGCGTTGGGGGAGGGCCCAAAATTTGACCATGCCATGAATTAATTGATATCAATGATGATGGGGTTTATGTGATGTTGGAAGCACTCCCTTTGATCTAGATTCAACTAGGGTTGGATGTAAAGAAATTATGATGGTTGTCATTCTTACCAAAAAGTTTATCGTAGGAAGAAAGTCATAAGTCAAAAAGAGCAGAGCATTTATTTTTGCTGCAAGAATATAGAGAATGTCAAGTTTAATAGAGCATATAAGATACTTGCAATTACGGATCCTATCAATGCCATTAAAGCTATGAATGGTGTGAGCATTAGGGTTTGTTGGGAGGGGTTGTGGTCTTTTTGGCTATGGTATGTTTAGGGCATTTTCACATTTTTTAATTATTGAGGTGGAGGTGATGCATTCTTCATTATTGTGGATATAAAATCTTGATGAGGAAGAAAACTTGCGAGTGAAGGGAGACGGGTTACTATTTATTAAATGTGATGCCAAGAGTGAAGGAAGAGGATGAAAGGGGTGGATTTCGTAGGAGAATCAATGCAATCCCTCGGTAGAGCCAATGGAGGGAGGGAAGAGGTTTTTTTTTTATTTTTTATTTTTTATTTTTATTTTGAGGGAGGAAAGAGGTTGACGCAAAAGGGGTGGAGCGGCTAGGGTTTTTTTTTCCAATAACATCCGTGAAATAATGTTTATAAGAGTTGACTCACAAATAATTATATGTAATTTGTTTTATTAATATCTTTTTCATTTATTATAAAAGATGTCATATCAGTAACCCTAACTCAGTAAATATTATCAAGTTTACTTATTTTTTTATTCTCATGGAAGATTCCAATGAGATTAATTAGATAATTATTTTCCATTAAAAATTAAATCATAATTTTTCAGTGGTTTATTCATATACTATAAAATGCTGTGATCATAGATAACAGTTTCAATAAATTAGTTAATATATACAAATTTTCTTTTAAAAATTATTTAAAAATTATACAAATCAGAAGGCCAATAACTCTAAAAGATGAGGTGGAGGAGAAGATTGTGTTAAAATACTCAGCGAAGGGGGCTTTGATAATTTCTCCAATAGAGAGTATTAATAGAAATATAAAAGCTCTTAAGGACACATTAACTATCTACTGATACTAACACAACTTAAACTATAAATTTTACCTATATGACTCATTAACAAACCTGTTAACTTATCAGTTAGACTTTTATTCAAAAACCTCGTGTTAGTTCTTTGTCAATGGGTTAATTATTATAGTATAGTTTTATTAGCAGTTCGGCAAATGGGTAAATATTGACACGACAACCCGTTTTATACCCATGATCAAATTAACTATTTTACCCAATGACTTATGTAAACCAACTCAAACAAGATTATAGGGTGAGTATTTAGGTCATAACCCAATCGCGACTCATTTGTTGATATAATAATCTGAAATATCCACTAAAATTGCGTTTGGTATTGCTTTCTTACTGCGTCTAAAAACAATTTTTTAATATAAAAATTTTCACTTCAAAAAATTTTGTACTAAAAAATTGCTTTAAAAAACAATAAAAGCCGTCCTGAACAAAACCTAAAAGTACCCAACTTTGATTAAAAATTGATCGGACAAATATTTTTTATTTGTCACAATGATGAATTAAATTATTTTTAATAATTAAAATACTTTTACTTTGCTTTTAAAAAAAAGCCATTAATGATTTTATTTTTTACTTGTTATTGCTTTTAAAGGAAAGGCAAAAACAGAGAACAACATAAAGTCTGAAATGCAATATAAGCAACATTACATCAACAATCTAATATTACAACTCCCTCTTTTAATTACATAAGAGAACTGAAAATATTTTCATAAGTTCTCTCTCTTCAGGGAATTGACCATACAGAGTAAAAGAAACAGAACACACACATGATAATATAACATGTTTTGATTCTATCTTACAAGAACAGAAACTAACGAAGTTCCCTGCATGATCAAGAAGTTTTTTTTTGGTTCAGGAAAGGGAGCTCATCAGATACCAGTTCCATACTGGTAATTTGGAATCACAAGACCAGCCATGGGAGAAAAAAGCTTCAGATTCTCATCATCAACCTTCCACATCTGTGATTCAGAGTAATCCCACAGAGGAGAAGCCATTTCTGTGATTTCCAGTTCATTAAATTTTTCCTTGCGTGCTTCAAAGTTGAGCCATGGATTCTCTGATATAGCTAACTCATTCCATATTTGATCCATCGAGTAACCATTGAGTTCTACTTCTGCCTCGAACCCTGATGTCGAGATTGAGCTGCCATGATTGATCTGTTCGAACCATTTGTTCTCAGCCTCTGCGACGGCGATAGAGTTCAGTGAGGAGGACGAGGAGGAGGAAGATGACGGAGAAAGTTGAGAGCTTTTTTGTCTCTCTTGAGCCTTCTTCCTCATATGAGTCCTCCAGTAGTTCTTTATCTCGTTGTCTGTACGACCTGGGAGTCTACGGGCAATTCGAGACCATCTAAAATCATACAAAAATATATACAATTATATGAGCATAAAATCATATATGATGACATATTATGAATTCTAAACAAATTAACCACCTATTTCCCCAGCGAGAGTGGAGTTCTACTACGAGCTGCTCTTCCTGTGGCGTCATTCGGCCATGTTTGAGTCCAGGATGAAGATAATTAAGCCATCTGAGCCTGCAACTCTTCCCTGTTCTGTTCAAACCTGCAAAACACAGAGATCTCTGATGTCAGCCATGAAAAAACTTGGTAAAATTCAAAGCAAGAAGAGAAAGCCTTCTACAATTAATTAAATACCTAGAGCCCCCGCCACACCGCCAACCTGTCACTTTGGCTATGAAATCCCACCGGCGTTCGCCGAAGAGATGAACATAGCAAACCAGCTGCATGTCTTCTTGCTCAGTCCATGGGCCCTTCCTCATCTCTTCTGAAGCTGCCATGAGAGGAATGGTTTTGGGTTGTTCTTCTTCTTCTTCCTCTTCTCTGGCTTTCAAATTCTGGTGTGTTTTTCCTTCTCTTCCAGCTTTTGCTTCTTTTCCTACTGCTACTGATGGTGTTCCTTTGAGTACCTATTCTCAATGGCTTCTTTGCTTCCCCTCCAAATAGAGTTTGGATGATTTGGAGGTGTAGTGGTGATGGAGATTATTTATAAGTGGGAAAGATGTAGGTCACGTGACATAAGCTGGACTTGGATCACGTGCCTTGCAGGTGATGAATGTTTTTAGAAAGAGAAATTATTAGTTCTAAATATCAAGTTTTTTTTTTTTTTTGTATTTTGAGTTAATAAAAATAGACAGGTAGACACAAATCCTCTCCAACACTATAAAATTACTTCATTTTGATGACATCAGAAATCTCTAAATTCAACTTGCTACAGACAGCTGTAAATGGATGTCACAAAATTATCTATGGATTCATTTGAAACAACTTTTTAATTTTTTTTTTCAAATTATAATTATAATTATTATTTGACTATTATTTTTTATTACTTCAAAAAAATTATACTAAAAACTGTTTTCTATAATAATTATAAAAAAATATTTTTTCTACAACAACTTCATAAAATAATTAAAAAGTTGCACCAAATGAAGCATTAAGACATCCTTATGGTACCAATTTGTGAGAAAATATTTTGCCTAAAATTAGTGATCAATTTAGTTGTATTGTTGATGTATTAATTTGCGACCAATTCTATAATAGATGTGTAGCAAATTATTTGAAATCCATTGCAAACATTAAGATCAATTGAGGCTTCATTTGGAATGATTTTCTTCATGCTTTTTAAAAATTTTAACTAAAAAATTGCTTTCCCACACAAAGCCTAAATTTGATCATACACAAATAAATTCTTTTCTTCTCAAAACAGCCTCAATCCATCACAAATTGCGCAGTTCTCTTCATTTTAAAATTTCATGAAAATCATTGAATTGCAGCTCACAACATATAAATGATCTATTTGGGATGGTTATAATGTTATATAAAATTGATTGTGAAATTATTGCAAGGAAAATAACTTAATTGTTCTTATAACAAAAAAATGGCTTTCTATTGTAGAAATTAAAAAATAAATAAATAAAATAGTGAGAAAACTATCTCAAAATAGACCCATAGGGCCATAGGCCCATAACCATTATATATATATATATATTATCAGTAATTGTTGATGGAAGGGTCTCCAATAGCTTTTAAAAAATTGATGGATAGTTTGCATCAGCTTATCTTCACATCCTTCAACATTAATCGATACACGATTTCACGTAGTTTATACACTTAATTTTTAGAGTACAAGGGAGAAATATTGACATTTTTTTTATTAAAAATGCCTTGTATATTGATCCTTTATTGTGTTTAAATTCTACTCTTTCTTTCTAAGATTTTTCACATATCTTCTATTTTAAGGTCAAACAAATTGAAAATAGTTAAAAAAAAAAATATAGGATGCAATCGATGGCAAAATAAATGTGGATATTAATAGTAGGAATTTAAATTTGATGGTTGAAGTAGAGGAATGCATTGGGCCAATTGTGGGATAAAAAAAATACCACGAAAAATTATAGGAAAATTTTATAAGATGGTGAGACCTATAATGTTTTATGGCATAGAATGTTGGCCATTAAAAGAGAAGTATTAAATTAAATTAAATGTTGCAGAGATAAAAATGTTCAGGTTGATGAGTGGCTTTACACTCAGAGACAGAATGTGAAATGAGTATATATGTGAAAATTTTGGAGTAGCTCCAATGGAAGTTAATGTAAGAGAGATTTGTCTTAAATGATTTGGTCACGCCTTCTGATGATCTTGTTAAGAGAGTCTGATGACCTTATTAGGGGAGTAGATGAATTAAATTTAATATATATTAAAAAATATAGAGATAGACTTAAAAAGAAATGGTTAAAAATATTAAAAATAAGATTTTTTTTAATTAAATTTAAATTAGATTTTGAATCTTAATAAACACAATGGAGAAAAATAATTCCATCCCCATGTGATAGGATAAAGACTTATTATTATTGTTGACATAATGAATGCTCAAATTAGCCCTACTAGAATTCTCTAATTTATTTTTATCGAATCTGCTATGAGCTCAAGGGCATCTTCTCATCTTTCTCTCTCACTTTCTATTTTCCCCTTCAAGCTTACTCTGCTTCCTACTTATTAACGAAAAATTATTATGTGCAATGTCCGGATGCGTCCGGAGGCTAATCCGGACGCATCACATCATCCAATACACAATGCATTACGTGATGTGACGTATCCAAATTATCCTCCAGATGCATCAGGACTCCGCACATAATAATCTCTCCTTATTAACTCACTAGTTGGCACTGCTTAACATTTATCTTACATGTCTATAAGGTAAGTTATATAACTATATATGAATATTTTAAGCTTATATAAATGCTATTTATAACACTTTATTATTTAGTAATTATTATTCACTACCAAAATTGATTTATACGAAATCTGCAGGCTATATAATCTCTCTAAATTATTATTATTTTGATAAATTAAGTAGTTTATTTATTTTAAAAATTTTTGGTTCGGGTGTTTCGATAAACCTGAAGATTATCCATAACATTTTTTAATTAATTAATTAATTATCAGTCTCTTAATTAGATAAATAAATCTGATCTTTGTATTAAACCATTCCACCATCTCCATTGTGGCTTGGCGACTTGTCAAGGCCATGGAGAAGGGAGAGAGAGAGAGATTCATCACCTCCGATAGCCAAATTCTCAAAAGGATAGACTCAATAAAAATGCAAGTTCGAAAAGTTACTTACCAAATCGCTGCGGAGGCATAGATCCATATCATGATGTGCTTTCCATCTGCAGATGCTTTCTGAAGAACTGTAGTATTACTGAAATGAGAAGAGAGACAGCATCAGTGGATGGCCTGGAAGCATGAATTACTTCACTATCCTTCTCAATTCTGGCTTCTCCAACCTGTGTGAAAATGGGAAGAGATTGAATGGAAAGAAGATGACATATTCGAATTCCTCAATAAACAATACCAATCGAATTCATAGGCATTGAAAGTATCAGTAAAATTCATATTGTAATAAGCCCAAAATGTCTTCACAGGAGGTGACTAACAAGGATTCCAATTGTTATGAACAGATGGATACGCAATCCTCTATTATCAAACATTTTCTCAACTAGAAAGCTGTTCCAGAACACCAGTAATATAGAAAACAGGGTTGCAACTGGTTCCATGAGACCATAAAAAATCTTCATGTAATATTTAACTTTGCATGATTAATTGTCAAAGAATTCTCCATATTTATGTTCCCATTAAAAATCATTATTTCAAAAAGCCCTATTTTCTGCTCTGCTCATGCAATAAAACATATCCTTATTTCCCATAAACCTTATATTCCTAGACAAACTATTCATAAATCACACCTAAACTTACGAAGATTATTGAGTGAAAAGAGATCAACAAAGTAGATAGAAAGAAAAAATTCTAGAGTGAGCAGTTTTGAGATCCTTTGTAAATAAGGAATTTACATAAAACTCATTGACCCTCTATTTATAAATTTAGATTAAGGCTTAAGCATTATAGAATTAGCTATATATATGACTATATAAAACACAAGAAAAATTACAATGGTTGTGCAACCTTAATTTTTCATAATGATATATGACTGTCAAGTAATTAGAATATCTGACTTGAGGAAGTCGTTCGTCAAGCTAATAGGAAATTGTTGACTTATCATGCATGAATTGACGAATAGCCAAATAGCTCATTAATAATTTCCCATATAAAGGAAGTCGTCTACTTGAAGAATCGCTCAAGCTAACTTGATAGGTCATAATCATCTGTTTGCGATGAATTCACAAGCTGTAGTTACCTACTTCAAACAAATTCATTTATTGACTTTATGAATTCCTTTTGAGTTGATACCAAGTTGATCTAATTTGAATATGGGCAATTTGACTTTAAGTGGACCGACTTCACTTGAACAAGACCGATTTGCATTGAACATAATTTTCCGGATAATTGGTTGTACATTTTCTCAAATTTCTTATATCTATGGAGGTTTAGGTTGAAAAAAATAAGAAAATATAAAAAAAAAATTCTTCATTAATTATTCATAAAACTTTTCTAAATGTTTATTTAATATTAGATATTTGATAATCAATTTGAATTTGACTTCTAACATCGTTCTTTTGTTTATGTCAGCAAATAATTAACCTACAAATATGAAATCAATGCTCTTCATTCAAATGTTTTTCCTTCATCTTGTCATTTCCTTTTGAGCTCTGCAACTCCTCTTGTTGAAAATGGTGGTTCCAAAGGATAAATCAAAAGGCTGACCAACACTTTTTTAACTAACTGAGGTTGTCAAAGAATCTGTTATGCCAATGTCTATTCTCCCACCCGTAGAGAAGCAAAACTAGGAAAGAATGTAAAGGTAAATATTCTTATATATGTATATGCAATGTGGTTTGTTGATGACTTTATGTAGTTATCTTCTCGATGAGCAAGCTTTCTGGTGAGACACCGATTACTGATCCAGCAACTTGCTAAACAGTCACTTTCTCTGGGATGGATGCTGCTTAGCCGACGACTGCGATAGATATGATTAAAGTTGACCAAAAGTCTAACCGAGAATACTTCAACTCCTTCGATAAAATTTTATCTTCACGTTCTTGACAATTCTTCTACAAATTTAATAAATGATATACTTCATTTTTCTAGTCTATCTTTTTTGTCGATTTAGATATGAAACTCAATCACACTCTTTCTTTAGTTACCTATGATATTCTTACTAATGAACTCATAAAATAGCCTAGGAATGATCTTCCTTTATCATGAGCCAAATCATGCATCTCCAAAATCATTATTTCAAATAAAGTTGAATATTTATTCTCTGAAGTCGACCAATTGAATTCGTTCATTTTTTGCATTGAAGGATGATTGCAAAAAGGAGAAACCGACTTTAAGCTTTCTGAAATGAAGTTGCCATTTGTTGAAGCCAATGAAACTTTTTGCCAAGAAGTCATTGCTTTCAAAGCCAAGGTTATTGCTAGTCCAAGATACACGGAGCATACAAAATCAAATCAGTTATTGATTGGCAATGAGTTTAGGTTAAACTGACTTACTGATAACTAAAAGATATTTAAAGAAGTTGTTGTGGACCCTTCTTTACCAATTTTCTTTAACTCTTTTCTTTCTTTTGAATGACCAACTTAAAATTGCCCAATGTCAAGTCCAAATGGCGAATGAAACTTTCATTTGATGAAAATATATTTCAAATTTCAATGTGATTGATGTGTTCATATGACTAACTCAAAGCTTTTTTTTTAAAAAAATTTAAAATGTAAAAATAATGATTTGAAATAAAAAAATATGAATATCAAAATTCATATTATAGGATTGTAGGCTCCGAAAATTTGAGCCCCGACCTCCTTGCTTTCGGTGGAGTTTTAATGGATTAAGTTCCGGGCTAAATTTTCAGAACGCATATTGGGTTTGTAGATGAGACACTACCCAAAGATTTTGCTCTCATTTTGCAAGGACTTAACGACCCGAGTTCTAGTTTCCTATAGGCGCAAGCCCCTATAGTTAATTACCCCTCCCGATAACGAGAGATAACTTTCGATTAAGGCTAGTCGTCAATCAGATACATAGAAAGACATATTATCTGGCATATAGTAGCAGCATGAGTTTAGGTATTTGAAAATTTGATATTTAAAATTTGAAATTTCACCATCTTGTACTTAAAGCGGATGGTGGGGGGAGGGATAATGAGCCCGAACAAGATCTTATGGTTCCATTGTCCCGAGTCATTATGGTCCCTGGTCTACTTAGTCATAGGAGGTAGTCGACCCAACCTGACGGAGGGATCCTTGTCGGCAGCCATGGGTTGCGTCGTCCAAGAGTAACATGTAAACCTGGGGTAGATGTTTTTCGAAGGGGGAAAATCTAAATCAAGCTTAACTGATAGAGTGATTTATGCCTTATCGATCATATCTTATTGATTCATATCAAAAGGATTTAGTGCCATTGGGGAGCATACAAGCTCTGGTCATGAACGTAATTTAGTAGTGCCATTTGACGGCAAAACCACAAGGTTCAAAGGGCCCCGGTTATCATCGTTTACCTGCGGTGCCATTTGACAGCAAAACTGCCAGTTAGAGGACACATGCAACGTCTTTATTGGCAAGAGATTATTTGACAAAGAATCCTAGTGATATTATTGACCAGACATTAGCTCTTTGTAAGCTAAAGTTATTTCAAATTTGTCCATCTTAGCTAATTGTTGCGGAAACTATATGGATTTTATTTTAAGCATTTGATGACTTTTTTCAATTTTAAATATTTAAGGATTTTGGTATTTTTGAATTTTTTTTTGAGTTTTCATGGGCTTTTGATGGGTGGCATTTCAAATATTTGAAATTAACAGCTCCGATTGAGATTTACATTCAACACAGTCATCATTGGGGTGACTTTGAGGTCATTTTTATTTTATCTGTTGAACCTTGTCGATTCTACCAATTTGCCAACATAGGATCAGGTTCTTTATTGGATTTATGCTTTTATCAATGAATTTGTTTTATAATAGGCCTTGAAGGCCTAACATGAAGGTATAAAACAAATATCTTAGTCGATGCCGCGACCGTATATTTGTTCAATAGTTCGAGCCGTGTCGACTTCTATCCATTCACGTAGGAAGATCGAGCTTGAACTTAGATTTATTGTTTGACCCGCGCAACATCCTCAGGCGTCACATGTGTACCTACAACACGCTCGTCGAAGCCCATTCAGGTATTTAGGGGGTATTTTATAATTATTTGTCGAACCTTGCCGACTTTGTCTAATTGTTGACAGAATCGAGTTCGTAGTAGGCTTTAGGTTTAATTAGTAAAATTTCCTTGTTATGGGCCTTGAAGGCCTAATACGAACATATAAAACAAATGTCTCGGTTGACATCGAAACCATACATTTGTTTGATAACTCGAGTCGTGTTGAGTCCTATCTACTCGTATAGAAGGATCGGGCTTGAACTTAAATTTGACCCGTGCAACATCCCTATATGTCACGTGTGTACCCGTAACACGCTCGCCAGGGCCCATGCGGGTATATGATTGCGTGTATTTATGTGTATACATGTTGTAGTGTATGTAAGGGTGGATTTTTGGATATGATGAGTCTTCTACAGTAGCTCGTATAAGCTTTTGTTTGTCGTAGCCCTTCTGCATTTTCTTGTAGGCGATATGTTGAGTGCGCGACGGGTCTTCTACAATGGTCCGTAGGAGCTCGTATGTATTGGACGTATGTTATTCTTGTTCGTAGACAATATTCTGCGTGTGTTGCAATCTCTCGTCATTATCTACATGAGAATCGTGCTTTATCCCGAGCAACTCGTTGTCATTGTTGCATGTCAATTCCCTTCATCTGGAGGGAGCTTATACACTTGTTATATGTTTGATTGGTGTTGACTGTATGAGGGCATATTTGCAATCAATGCATGCCCGCTGCTACCATTTGTAGGAGTTTGATGCATTTGATGATTCATTTACTGTTGTGGATGAAACATTATGTATTCCACGAGTTCTTTAACATCATAGGTGTTTGTGTTCACTATAACTCTACTGATGTTGCTTGTAGACTGAGTGCCGTATGCATCATAAGTTCACACTTATGTTCGTAGGTGAATTGTTCCGTTCTCCACAAGCCTCCGTCATACACTCATGAGAGTTTGTATTTGATGTGAGTTCTTGGCCTCTGTCTATAGACCGACTAATTGGCCATGGTGGGTTGTTCATCATTTATGGGCAAAATACATATGCAGGTTGTTGTATTCATTGTGCATCTTCTACATTCTGTTCATGAATGAATCAAGGCATGCATTGCACTCATCCACACAACTCGACCCCAATCATGGGTCGACTTCTATAACCTATGCTTCTTCAATTGTTGGGCGGTAAGCTC